CCCTACACTACTAAACCCTAAACCCTTAACCCCCCAGCCTCGAGCATCACCTCGAGCTTCACGGCCTCCCAGTCTGGGCGCAGGGTCGCCGCTTGTCCCAGCCCGTAGACTTCCTCGAAACTGGCCTTGGGTTTCCGGCACGGTTTAGGGTTTAGGGTTTAGGGTTTAGGGTTTAGGGTTTAGGGTTTAGGGTTCTCTAAATTAGGGTACCCTTTTAAGGTCCTGTTTATAAGGGTGCCTTACTATATTGGGAAAGAGGGACCCTGATTTAGGGAACTACTGAACAGGGGGCTTATGTTAGGGTGTGAGGGCTCTTACAATTAGGGTTTATGTAGGCTTCGTGCTTTTTCAAAATTATAGGGCTGAGGGTTTTATATTTCGGGTTTAGGGAGTTTGGGTTTTTGTATCTAGGGTTTCCGGTGAAGGGTTTGGCGTTAAAGGGGCCTTGGTAATTAGAATAGGGTTTTGGAGTATATTCTACGATACTTATAATATGGAACCCCAAATAGTACTGGCAATTATTTAGGCTCCTACATTAGGCGGCCTTTCTAAGGCTTTTTATTAAGGAGGGTCGCATGTCTGCTTGAACATAAAGGGATCAGGGTTTATCGGTGAAGAGCTGCTTGGCAGAAGGGTCTGCAGTTGGGCGTCCGAGTAGGGGGTGCCTGCGCTGAACCCTAAACCCTAAACCCTGAACCTTGAAGCCATGCCTGTGAACCCATGCAGAGTTAATTTAAGGAGTTAGGGTCGATTAAGGACCAGGGTTGGAGGATTCATACTGCTTCTTTGCGGGGTCCCAATGGTTATAGTCTATAATGTTGAAAGTCTTTAAATAAAGAGCTGGAAGATTATAGGTTATGATAGTTTAAGGTAGCGCCTAGGGGCCCAAATCCAACAACACCGAGGCTCTGAAGCGATGCGTTGCCTCTGCTTCTCCTCCAGAGTTTTGTGGGCCTGAAAGAAGTGCCTGGGAGCAAAGGAACCGCGACCGATTGGGGTTTCAAGAGTATTTAGTCATGTGTAGGGTGTAGTAGTAGCAGCAGTAGTAGCGGTAGTAGTAGTAG